TTGGTGGCATTGAGGTCACGGATCGAAATGTGTGTAGCTGAGGAGTGGAGTAGAAGCTGATGGGTGGGTAGTTGGATGTCTCTCTGGGAGGGGTATACAATGCGGCGAGTACAATCTTGGAGTGCTGATTCAAACTAAGTGGCATTGTTGGTCAGGATGAGGTTCAAGGATTTAGGAGATGGAAACTCACGAGGGGGATGAGGTCGGCAGGCTCTGTGGTGAGCTTGTGTGCTAGCTCTTCGTTGTATGAGATCAAATGAGCGATATCAATATCGCAATAGTATTGCTTGACCAGAACATTCTGGCGAAGTTGGTCACTGTCATCCACCTTAGCTTTTGTTGACTTGAATCTTCACTGTATCCGGGCTAGGGCCAAACATACCGGTAGATGAATGCATTGTCAAGCTGGAATTCGAGCACAAACTCCTTTAATTTTGCTCGAATCTGAGAGCGAGAGTCTTCCACACCATCGACGCTAGGAGCGAGGACACTCAGGGTATAAGGGGTGCGTCTGTCCATGGTGAAGACACTAGAGCGGACTGCGGGGATGGGATTGTGAGATGTGTTGATTTTGGGACCGTCTCATTGCCAGGGCAAAAAAGGACCTGCAAATAACTTTTGCGGCGGGACACGAGCCGAACGCGTCGCGTCGATTTCACGCGTTAAGTGGTTTTCTTCATGCCTGAGGCAGAACACACATCCCTCACCGCTCTTCAGACCGCTGGAGGCGGCAGAAACTAGTGAACCTCGTCGCAAAAACCTCGGATTTAGCGGATTTTGGAAACATACAGCTTCAAAAAACTCATCTGAGATTCTGTTGAAAATTTGGCGGTGCGGTGTGGCAGTATTCTGGAGTGCGTCCACAAGCACGAGACTTGGTGCCGGCAGCCGGAGATACTAACTTCCCGAGGGGTACCCAAAGCAGACTAGTGGACACGGTCTCGAGGCCTGGCGCCATACTGGATCGGGGGAAGCTGTCATGAACCAACCCCCGTATCAGAGGGTCGAGGGTGACGTTGCAAGCGGGCTTTGTCGGCGTGGCTTTCATTCTCTCCTCTTGAGACCACAGGCTTCATACCCTGGCAGTGTGGGATCATTGGCTGGACGCCATTAATGCCCCTTCGTTTTTTAATTGCAGCTCGATCTCCTTGTCATGTGTAGTTAACCGTCGTTCGTTCTCCCGAGTACTACTACTAGCACGGTGGCTGTGGGAGTCGCTAATCCGCTATCGACAATATGTCGTCCGCGACCCCCCGGAAGTCCATTGACAGCTTGGCTTCAGGCGCATCGACACCCTCTTTGTCTCAATTCTCGCTAAATCAGATCGAATCGCCGCGTGCGTCGACTCAAAGGTACCCTCTCAGGAGAGGGTCGACTGCCAGCTCGATTGCCAGTATCGGGGGCATTTTGGATCCTTCCCACCGTCATGGATCGATAGCTGAGTCCGGGCAAAATGGTACGGCCTATGGGAGTGAGGAGATCTATGAAGAAAATCGCATGCTAATTCGACGCAGCCATCTCTACTCTCCTGCAACCTCCCATTGTCCGCACCGGTCTAGTTCCCCATACCGCTGTCCCCTCCGCCGGATACAAGCCGCCAACTACCCGCGATATACCCCCTGTCACATTGACCAACATTCCGCATGTGGATCCCAAAGCGTTCGAAGCCTACTTGTCGCAAGTTGGGTCGTTGTACGACGTCTTCCAACAAGCAAAGGAAAGCGCCGGAGATCAGGAGTCGCAGCTAGCGCGGGGTAGCGACAAGTCTTCACCCAAGGCAGAGGAATCAGATTCGTTGGCCCCAAGGTCCAGGGAGAGACGACCATCGGCTATCTCAACCAGTTCACGAGCAACTTCTCCGTACGATACCCGGGGTCGGAAGCGGTCGTTTGCCGGTCGCGGTCGTGGTCATGCTATCACACCTCTATCTACCATCCCAACGGTCTACTTCGAGGACGACTTCCACCTAGAGAACCCACGCACCTTCGATGTCGTTTCGGAAAAGTCTGAGATTGTTACACCGTCAAAGGATAAATTCGAGAATGGAGGCGCCCTGGAACCGGCGCCCACGGGTAGAAAGGCTCTGGCTACGAATGCCATTCTACAAGAGAAGCTTTCGTGGTACATGGACACTGTGGAAATCCACCTTATCTCTTCTATCTCGACTGCATCTAAGTCTTTCTTCACTGCGCTGGGGTCACTGCGGGAGCTACATGCAGAAGCCGCCGACTCGGTGAAACGGATCCAGGTCCTGCGGAAGGATTTACAGAAGATTGACCGTGAGATGGCACTGGGTGGACTCAAAATTGTGAATTTGCGACGGAGGAGAGAGAATGTGCGTATGCTTGCAGATGCAGTATCGCAACTCCGTGACGTCGTCCAGTCGGTTTCCCGATGCGAGGAACTAGTCGAGACTGGTAAAATCGAAGAGGCTGCAGATGGATTAGAAGAGGTGGAAAGACTGATGGCCGGAGAGTATACCCCTGGCTCTCCCGACGGCAACGAGAAACAAGAGCAACCGAGAAAAGCCATCGATTTGCGCAAGCTCAAGGCCCTGGAAGGCGCATCTGACGACCTGGCGCATTTGAGATACCGTATTGGCACAGGGTATGAGAGCCGTTTCTTGAGCGACCTGCTGGGCGACCTGAGGCAGCATGTCGAAAACGTGCCTTTGGATACAACATTACAACGATGGGGCTCTGCGTTCCAGCGGCAGCGGGGAGGACAGCGTACAGGGGCTACACAAGCCCCAGCATATATGGCCTTTGATGACCAGTTACGGTCCCGGTTGCACCTGCATCTCACCGGCCTTGCTCGCGTGCGTCACACGACACCTGCAGCGACCGCTTTCAAGACCGCGGTTCTGCGAGAGATGAAGAGCTTGATCCGCAAACACATGCCCAGCTCGAGTGATGACGATAACGAGTCAGTGGTATCTGTGTCCACGCAGAAGTCCCAGCAGCTCAGCCAGCAGGAAAAATCATCCATCCTCGCGCGTAACCTCCGGGCTCTGGATGCCCAAGACTCATACAACATGCTCGCTCGCGTATACACTGGTATCAGTGAGTCGTTGCGGAGACTTAGTGTTCAAGTCAAGGTTCTTCTTGATATTGCCAGTGGGTTGGAGAATCCGGCCGCATTGGGCGTGAAGTGCGGGCCACCAAGCCCGAATCCTCAAGGTCCAGGCAAACCTGCAACACCGGGCCCTGTAGCCGTTGTGGCACAGGACGAGATTCTGCAGGTCTTGGATATGTCCAGCCTTCTTGGCCAAGCCGTTGATATTGCGCAATCACAGGTTACCAAGGTGCTGAAGGTTCGATCCGAACAAACATCTCAGCTACCAAAGGATGAATTCCTCAAGTACTTCACTCTCAACCGGCTCTTCGCTGATGAGTGTGAGGCAATCTCCGGGCGTAGCGGTACCGCCTTGAAGACAGTTGTTGGCAACCAAATTAAAGACTACATCAATCGCTTCGGGGACGGACAGCGACGCCGTGTGGTCGAGGTAATGGATGCGGATCGGTGGGATGCAAGGGACTTTGGAGAAGCCGACAATGCTATTCTCGATCGTATACTCGGCGCCAGTACTAGAGATATTGATGTGTGGGTCGACGCATCCAAGATTTGGCTGCCCGAGAACGAACGCCGACAATCGTCTCCGGCCAGCACAACCGCTGTCAACGGGTCCGGAAAAGAGAAGACGCGCAGTGCCGTGATCGACGAGCAGAAGTACATTCTGTCCGAGTCTGCTGTTGCGATGTTGAAGAGCATCGAGGAATATCAATATCTCATGGCGAATATACCCAGCATGATGCAAGACATTGCGCCTGGTTTGTTGGAGTCATTGAAGCTGTTCAATTCCCGATCTTCTCAGTTGATCCTGGGTGCCGGGGCTACAAGAAGCGCAGGTCTCAAGAACATCACCACAAAGCACTTGGCTCTGTCGTCTCAAGCACTAAGCTTCATCATTGCCCTGGTTCCCTATATCCGAGAGTTCGTCCGCCGCCACGCGCCTTCTAGCCCGCTGATGGGCGAATTCGACAAGGTGAAGCGGCTGTATCAGGAACACCAGTCCGGAATCCACGAGAAACTCGTGGATATCATGGGATCTCGATCAGCCATTCACGTCAATGCCATGAAGAAGATTGACTGGAACGCACCTGCAGGGGGCAGTGGTGTAAGCCCGTACATGGAAACGCTGGCGAAGGAAACCGGCACGCTGCATCGGGTGCTGAGCAAGCACCTCCCCGATATGACGGTCATGATGATTATGGATCCTGTGTTCAAGAGCTACCGAGAGCAGTGGACAAAGGCATTCGAAGAGGTCACCGTGACTTCGGAGACTGGCAAAGAACGGTATGTGTGCCACCGCATGGTTGACTCAACGTAGGCTAATTATATGACCAGACTGAAACGAGACGCAGAGTATCTGCAGACGAAGCTCGGCAAGATCGACGGCTTCGGCGATCTGGGCCAGCGTCTCGTCGAACTAGTGAAGCAGAAGAAGATCGCTACAGAATCCAAGGATGCCACCGATTCGTCCGGAAAGTCGTCGCCTGATTCCAATGGCTCAAAGAAACAATCCTAAACAGAGGCGATTCAAATTTGGGCCTTGATGGCCCAGATGTACATGATACAAATTCACCCCAGAAGATCCCAGTACCTCTTGTTGGTACAGGGCTGTACAGGCTTTATTTATTTCACATCCATGTTTTTCTTTACATTACCTGGCACACACATGAAGACCGTGACCATATTTATATAGACTCTAATAGGAACATTTCCCACTTCACCGACACTCAAACACTTTAGACAACTTCAGTTCATTTATTTAATTCATTTCATTCGACCTCAACCCGGAGGTCATCATCATCATCACCTTCACTAACAACTAGTGAAAGGCATAGTATAGTATAGACTGTTAATACATATCCACCCAAAGAGGTACCTAAATCATGATATTCATGCATCAATCACCGAACTCCAATGCTTTTTATAGCTTATGCCTGGTGAGCCCCCAATCCCTTCTTATCGCCCAATGTCTTGGGCTCGTGGCCGCCCTTTCCACTACCGGACTTGTTCGGACCTGAGCTGCCGCCGATGCTGTACTCGCCGCCGCTGCTCTGGGCGGCCTCGGGGAGAGGAGCGGTGCGCTGGACGCGGTTGAGGTGGTCGTTCTATACATAGCTTAGCAAACACTCTTTTCTTCAATAAAAGAGATTTATGGGAAGGAGGATGAACATACGTCAGGGTTCGTTCCATGAACCTTAGTCTCGCCGGCCTCAATGGCGTTGTCGGACTGGATGACTCCGTTGTCGTATTCGGCTCCGCGGGGCATTTTGATGGCTGCAAGGAAGTTAATTAGTATCGCCTGAGAAGAAAACTTAGGCAGTGGTGTATGTAGTCATATAGCATACATACCTTGTGTATATATATGTGTTGGTGGGAGAGTAAGATATGAAGATAAGGTTTGTTTGTGGGATTAGATTGTTGTTCGTTCTGAATCTGAGTCTGATGAATAGAAGAGAAGTAACAGTTACAGCAATCTATCTACTACTTATATCCAAAAGTCAAGGTGATGTGTTCATCGATCCGGGGCCCAGATTGTTGGCGTTGACACCATCGTGAAGTCATCGGTGCCGGGTACGGGCCCACTTATGATCTCATCGATAGGTTGGGGAGGACAGGTACCATCTTACTATGATCAAGTAAGGGTTGGAGAATTTAGGTAAATGCCATGTTTTAATTAAGGTGATTTGGTGTTTCAGAACAGAGGTATTTCTTGGTACTTCTGATGGAGTTGTGGTTGTGGTTGTGATGTCGTGTGTCTTGGCTGCCTTGGTTTAGTTGGCGGCGGGAGGGTTGGTGCAATGGTGTATGTATGTATGCCGGTTTGGGCAGGTAGGTATTTTAGTCTATTATGTTGTGTTTTATGTTACTTTCTAGTGTGAATATGTACTATAGAGGTGTCATAGTGTTTGGGTTTCTAATAGAAGAGGAACGTGGCAGCTCGTAGTTTGAGATGGAATATAAGCGCATAAATGGTCTGTTGGGTGTGCCTTCCCATTGGGACATCTTTAGATAACAGGATGCCATTGTGATTTAACTGGTCATTAAATCGATACTCAAAATTAACAGAATTCAAACCAAGCTGTTGATGAAGTGAGAACAAGCGACAGGGGTTGGCGGTGTTGTCCAATGCCTCCCACGTGGTGGGATACTAGATTTAGCATCCTGCCCTGCGCTAACAGCCAGGTGTCGTGATTCTGGGTCTGAGGGTTACTGAGTAAAAGTCCAGGGACCATGTTCTACGCCTCACCAATACGAAGAAGTACCAAGGTACCATCTATGGCTGCTACATACCACGTGCAAAGTGGCTACATACCACTCGAACTCACCGGAGTCAATATCTGGCTCAACTATGACATCGCCAGTGTGCCAATGTCTCACCATCTTGATGATCATGTATGGCCTTAGCTTGCATACAAGGCAAGCAAAGTACGGATACTCGCCACTGAGCTATATAAAGGCGTCAGTGCGCCGTTTATGGTATGTCGGCTGCTCTGAAGCTCACTGGAGAAGAATGTAGATCTGGATGAGATCGTAAACCTATATAGGGAAGCGCATCCGCGCGGGGTAGCTATCATCTTGCAGATGTGGCAGAGCTGAACACTATTTGCCGCAGCAACAAAGCTTTGACGCATGAACTGATATACACACAGATAGCTATCCATTGCAGCAAATACTTTTCATGAACCAGGGGAACACCGATATCGCCCTTCGGGACATACCGTTGTCGGTAAGCTTTCTCGAGGACAAAGCGCAGACCAGACCATATTTAGACATTGCTCAACGAAGCAGAGACACGCGGTTGAGAGTATCGCTGGTTGCATTGGCATATAATCTTTGTGAAAGCCATTGCAGCGAATACGAAGCCAGTATGAAGTGGTCTCCCGCGGAGAACCCTGCCACCAGCATCACTATGATAATCTTGCGATCTTCCCGCCCATGATTGTCGTTACGGTGCAGCTGGTGGCTGCAGGCAAGCGAAGTGATACGTTGAGGAGGCCCGGGGGTTTATCGGCGGCCCCAGGCAGCCAGGCCGGGCGTCACATGAGACTGGTGACGTCACGGGACGACAGCTTTCCCCAGATTTGCCCCGAATTGGTCCAAGCGGAGACGAAATCTGGTACGTGTCTCGAGGGTGAATATATGGTTCTTATCAGGGAAAGAGTTCGTTCCTTTTCCGGTTGCAATTGATTTCTTCCCCAAATGGGAGGTAAGGGAAAAAAAAAGAATAAAAAATCTCTTCACGGGTTCCTGACTGAGGGGAAATTTTCAATTTCGCATTGTGCCACCAACAAGCCGACCGGGTGTCTGAACCCCCTGTAGGGAGGCGGCTCGACTAGCTCCCAACAATGTGAAACTTCCCTTTTCCCCTCTCCCTCTCTTCCACCAAGTTGTAGGCGCGATGGGCGCAGATAGCAGGGTCGTGCAAGTCCGAGCTTCCCAGCTGGAACGTTGCAACCCATCATCATCATCTGGTCGGATGATTCTGCAATCGACAGACCAACCGGGGTTGTCATTTGCCGGGGGGATCCCCCCTTCAGTGGTCCATCAAGTCAGAACCGGGGATGCGTCCGTGCAACTCCAAACCTTGGCTATAGCACGGGGGGCCCTTCGGTGAGCTTTTCCCAGCACCCTGGTCGGGCCATTGCGCGAAGGATGCTGTCTCGTAGCGTGAATTGAACCTGTTGGAGGAAAGGGAGTGAAATGAAAAGAATCGGAACCCCCTCCTTGCGGTCCAACCACTTGCTCCCTGCTTGATTGATATTCCCTTCGTTTTCCCTTAGTTTCTTTCCCCCCGCCACCCGTTGCCTGTTCTTCCCCCGCACGTCACCTCAACTTTTCTCCTCTTCCTCGAGCTTTGCTGAGCTTGCTGCCACCCCCCCGGATGCGCTTGTCCCTCGTGTTCTGCGCCAGTTAAAGAATTACTCTTACCTACTCCTACCTCTCCTACAGCTCCGTCTTTCTCTTTCTATTCTTCCTTGCTTTCTTTTCTCTCCTTTCGTTAATCTATTCATAACTCCTCCAGCGCTACAGTTCCTCTGAGCGCTCTCAAAGCAAGCATGGCCAGTGAGGATAATGGCCAAGAGCCCATAAAGCGCGATGTTCGCAATCACATTCTATTCGAGGTAGCGACGGAAGTGGCCAACCGAGTGGGAGGTATCTACTCGGTGCTCAAGTCTAAAGCTCCCGTGACCACCGCCGAGTATGGCGACCGCTACACCCTGATCGGTCCTCTTAATCGTGCTTCGGCAGCTGTGGAGGTCGAGGAGTTGACCCCGTCGAATCCTCGCATGATCGAGACCATCCAGTCCATGAAGGAGCGCGGGATCGAGATTGTCTACGGTCGCTGGCTGATCGAGGGTGCTCCGCGCGTGCTTCTTATCGACACAAGCACTGGTTACAAATATCTGGACGAGTGGAAAGGCGATCTCTGGAATGCAGCTGGTATTCCGTCCCCTTCTGCCGATACCGAGACCAATGAAGCCATTGTTTTCGGCTACCTGGTGGCATGGTTCTTGGGAGAGGTACGTAACCTAAGCGCATGAACCGCTGACTGCACGTGCGCATGTGCTAATGATCTTCAACTCAGTTTATCGCTCATGAGCGTCGCCGTGCAGTGGTTGCTCATTTTCACGAATGGCTTGCCGGTGTCGCTTTGCCACTGACCAAGAAGCGGCATATGGACCTGACAACAATATTCACCACCCACGCGACCTTGCTCGGTCGGTATCTATGCGCCGGGTCTGTGGACTTCTACAACAACCTCCAGTACTTCGATGTGGATGCGGAAGCTGGCAAACGAGGGATCTATCACCGCTACTGCATTGAGCGAGCTGCCGCACACACAGCTGATGTCTTCACGACGGTGTCGCATATCACGGCCTTTGAGAGTGAGCATCTTCTTAAACGGAAGCCTGATGGCGTGCTGCCCAACGGACTGAACGTGAAGAAGTTCTCGGCTGTCCATGAATTCCAGAACCTACATTCGCAATCCAAGGAGAAGATCAATGATTTTGTTCGGGGCCATTTCTATGGCCACAACAACTTTGACTTGGACAATACCCTCTACGTATTTACTGCCGGACGCTATGAGTTCCGAAACAAAGGAGTGGATATGTTCATCGAGGGCCTGGCACGTTTGAATCACCGTCTGAAAGAGGCAGGTTCTAAAATGACCGTCGTCGCGTTCATTATCATGCCTGCCCAGACGTCATCCCTGACCGTCGAAGCGCTCAAGGGCCAAGCTGTTGTGAAGTCTCTGAAGGACACAATCGAGATGATCGAAAAGGGCATTGGGAGACGAATGTACGAGCGGTGTCTAGCATGGAAGGAAGGCGACAACATGCCGGACGAGAAAGATCTGATGGCTAGCCAAGATCGAGTGCTACTGCGCCGCAGACTCTTCGCCATGAAGCGACACTCTTTGCCTCCGATTGTCACGCATAACATGTACAATGATCACGAAGATCCCATTCTGAACCAGATCCGCCGTGTCCAACTTTTCAACCACGAGTCTGACCGGGTCAAGGTTGTCTTCCACCCGGAGTTCCTGAACTCATCTAACCCGGTGCTACCCTTGGACTATGACGACTTCGTTCGGGGTACCCATCTTGGGGTGTTCCCCTCGTACTACGAGCCTTGGGGATACACGCCGGCTGAGTGTACCGTGATGGGTGTCCCGAGTATTACCACAAACCTGTCTGGATTCGGTTGCTACATGGAGGAGTTGATCGAGAATTCGTCCGATTACGGCATCTATATTGTGGACCGTCGCATGAAAGGCGTTGATGACTCCGTTAATCAGTTGACGGAATTCATGTTCAACTTCACCCAGAAGAGTCGGCGCCAACGGATCAACCAGCGGAACCGGACAGAGCGTCTGAGTGACCTCTTGGACTGGAAGCGCATGGGTCTGGAGTATGTCAAGGCTCGGCAGTTGGCACTCCGTCGAGGTATGTGTATTTCCAAGCCATTATATGTAAGAGTGCTCACACAGTTATGCAGCCTATCCTTCGTCATTTGGCACGCCCGATGATGTCTACGATGTAATCGGTGGCACGGAGCAGAAGATATCGCGACCCTTATCCGTACCTGGCTCCCCGAGAGATCGTTCTGGTATGATGACTCCCGGGGACTTTGCCTCCCTGCAGGAGGTGAAAGAAGGCTTGAGTACGGAGGACTATGTCGCATGGCGACTGCCGTAAGTCCACAGTCCTAGCTCCCCGGTGTAGGAATGACACAAGGAACATCGATGCTGACGACCACTTTAATCTAGTACTAGCGAGGAAGAGGAGCCAGATGACCATTACTTTCCGCTCACCCTACGCACGAAGAAGAATGCCGACCGTCCGGCGTCGCCGCTCGATCAGCT